CTCCTCCCTTCTTTAATTAGCATGGTGTACTGCCCTAAGCTTAGGTATTCGGAGACTAAGCAAGCTTAGATGCCAGGGGACAAGCTTGGGAAGACCCAGGTAGCTGTCCTTTTGTGGTGCAGCCTGGTGGCCAGAATTAAGTTTTAACACACAGTGGGCTGGCTGTTCTTTATATCTGCTGCTCCTCCCAAAAGTTGCCTGCATCAGATTTCAAATGTAACGAGTCCCCTAATCCTTCCTCTCTGGTTGCTCAGCCAGGAATCATCACAGACTTCTCCCTCCCTTGACTTCCTAGGTGACGGCACTTTTATGCCACATTCTCTCACTGGAGATGAGTTTGGCCCTAGATACCTGTTGATGACTGAGGAGAAACCAACCAACCACACACTCACACACACACACAAACACACCAGATGATAAGTAAAAAGAGTTCTGGGCTCCCAAGTCTGAAGGATCAAGACCCAAACTTCTTTCCATAGTTCCAGGGAGCTCTGAAAACTGAGGGTGTGTAGGGAAGGCAGCTTGCCACTGTGCATTCACCTGGTGTGAATATTCATGCCTCTTACTGCCTGTGGACAGGAGCACCTGACAACAGGGCTGCTCAGCCCTCCTGGGTATAAACAACTCATGATTCTGAACTCTGGAGGACATCAGAGTCCAAGAACTCCAGAAAAAAGATCTTGAACCTATGCTTCAATCAATTAAAAAACACAGGGAAGGCTAGAGAGATGGTTCAGAGGTTAAGAGCACTGACTGCTCTCCCAAAGGTCCTGAGTTCAATTCCCAGCAAGCACATGGTGGCTTACAACCATCTATCATGAGATCTGGTGCCCTCTTCTGGCCTGCAGATATACATGCTGGCAGAACACTGTATATATGATAAATAATAAATAAATCTTAAAAAAAAATACATGGATGGAAATGGGCAGTGATGGTGCTCACCTGTAATCCCAGCACTTGGGAGGCAGATGCAGGCAGATTTCTGTGAGTTTGAGGCCAGCTGGTCTACACAGAAAAACCCTGTCTCAAAAAACAACAAAACAACAACAAGAAAGGCATGGAAAGACTTGATAAGCTAAACCACAGTCAACTCCCAGGAGATGCTCTTAAGTGGTAGAGTCACCCCTGCTGCACGCTAGGAGAGCTAAGAAAGTGGCCCTGGCCAGGGACAGCTTAGGGGAAGAAAGTTTGCGCTGGCTCTTGAAGGCTGAGCTGAACTTTTCATTTCATGGAGAAGCTGTGGAAATGAAATTCTTGGCTGAGGGAGGAGTATGGAGAAAAAATGTGCAGGAAAAAAAAAGAAAAGAAAAGCTGTGTCTAAGCAGCTTGAGCTCCTGGGCTTTGTCAGCTTACAGGAAAAGTCTGATTATCTGTCAGGATGCAGGAGAAGCAATGAGGATAACTCGAAGAGGCAGCTAGTCTAAAAACCTGCTTGCTCAGGGCTGGAATTTTTCTTTGGGATTCAGATTTACTACATAGAGTTCCAGAGAAATATCACTGACGGCCTCCCCCACAAGGTCTGCTGGGCTGGCCCTGCCCTGGTAGTGCTAGCCACCCTTTCCTCTCCCCTCAGGCCGACGTAGCAAGGCTCAGTCTCTCGGCCAGGTCAGGCTAGGGCTCATTTCACTGCTTGGTTTGGAGTCTGGTGCTTACCAGGTGGCTTCTTTTAACATCTGAGCGCCGGGTTCAGACCAGATCAACCACCTACCACTGTTAGCAGCCTGAAAGAGTTATTTACCTCTTCTGTGCCTTTGTTCTTCAGCTATAGAAGCAGAACAATAGTCTGCAAGCTATTGAAATAGGGTGGAAGCTGGCAGATAAAGCACTTGGCAGGGAGCCTGGCTGATGAACACTCAGTAAGCAGCAGTTATCAGTGGAGGGAGGACCCCTCCCTCCTCCACCTATGTACACATGCGTGCGCACACACATCCTTAGTACTACCTTTCTTTTGCAAAGCCTTTTCTTCTGTTTCTGGTTTCCCACTTCTTCCTACTTAATGACTTTCTGGGGAGAGTTTATTTGTTAGTTTCTTAGCAGATTCTTACTCATAGTGAGACCTGGTTTTTCTTTATGGGATCCTAATGGTTCAAGGGTTCCTAGCTTGTGTTCCCTAAATTCTTGGAGGTTCTTGCAGGTTGTCAGGATTTCCAAACACACGTCTAGATGTTGGTGTGCAACCAATGCCAGCTTTGACTCAGCAGTATGCACTTCATAATCTCCCGGAACTGTGTCCTCTAGATGTGCCTGTTAATATATCCCTCACACAAGTGTTACATCGTAAAGCCCGCAGCACAGAGCCTGGTGGGGAGAAGAGCTCGGGAGGATCTGCCTCTATTGTTGCTATTAGTATAAAACATTATTTGAAAAAAAAAATCACTCTTTTAGCCTAAGATCATGCCTTGGGTCTAATTAAAATTCTGGAGAAGGCAGGTGGATTACTTCAGCTTAGTGTGGGGATACTGTGGCACCATGCTAGGAGCCTCTGACTGGCAGTTACATGATTCAGCTAAGTAAAAATGAGGAAAATTATTACTTTGTAGATACATTTGGGCAGAGAAGTATTGCTGACCTGAAGCGTTATGTTTCAGGAAAGGAGTTTGCAGGCATTGAAAGTCACAGAGTGTAAAATTAAGGGCTTTCTCTGCCTGCTCTAGCTCCCAAATAATGACACGGAGACCTATATTTATTAATAAGCTTCAAGCACTATAGCTAGGCAGTTACTCATGTATTCTAACCCAAGTATGCTGGCCTGGCCTGGCCTGCTCCCAGCCACATGGCCCATTATTTGCTATCTTAGTCTTGCTCTGGATGCTCCTTGTTTATCTGTGTCTTAATGGCAACTCCCTCTATCCTGTCCCCACCTGGGACTGACCCCCTCCCTGGAATCAGGAGTTCAGCCCTAACTCTCCTGTCCTGCTATGGGCTGTTCAGCTCTTTATTAACCATTCAGAAGATGGAGAACAATTTTTACACAATATTGAGACAAGAGATGCTTCATAGAAATGACAATGCCAACGTCTGGGCTGCAACTAGATCTCTGGGTACAGAAATCAGCATTTGAATACACAGTGCACAAAGCCACCTCCCAACAGTAGGGACTCTGGTATAATGCAGTGATAAGTGGTGTCTATTCAGCAGGTGCACTGGCTGGTTATATGTCAAGTTGACACAAGCTTCAGACATCTGCGAGGTGATAACCTCAACTGAAAAAATGTCACCATAAGCTCAGTCTATAGGCAGGCAAGCCTGTAGAGCATTTCCTTAATTAGTGATTGATGTAGGAGGGCCCAGCCCACTATGGGTAGTGCTATCCCTGGGCAGGTGGTCCTGGGTGCTATAAGAGAGCAGGCTGTAAGCACACCTCCATGGCCTTTGCAGAGATGATGTCTCTGTGGCTAAGAGTGCAGGCTCTCTCAAGAGGACCCAGGTTTGTTTGAGCACCCTATACAGCACAGCTGTATTGAGGTACACAGACAAATATACAGAGAGTTTTAAAAGAAAAATAAAGAACATTTATGTTGGGGCTGGCGAGATGACTCAGCAGCCAACAGCACTGGCTGCACTTGTAGAAGACCCATATGGTGGCTCACAAGTCTGTAACTCTAGTTTGAGAGGAACCAGTGCCTCTCCTGGCTCCACAGGCAGGCACACGTGTGGTACACATACATAACATTAAAAACACTCATACATAGCTGGGCATGGTGGTACACACCTTTAATTCCAGTACTCAGGGAGTTGGAGAGGCAGGCAGATCTCTGAGTTCTAGGCCAGCCTGGTCTACAAAGCAAGTCCAGGACAGACCAGGCTACAAAAAGAAACCCTGTCTCGAAAAAAAAAAAAAAAAAGAGAAAGAGAACATAGAACATACACATTAAAAATTTAAGAATAAAAAACACTTAGGTTTTTTGAGACAAGGTCTCACTATGCAGCCCATAGCTTGCTATGTATTTTTTTTTTATTATTTTTTTAATAACAAAAGTTCCCTCAAAGCCCTCTGGCAGGTCTTTTTACATGTGTGGGGGTCTCCATGTGTGTGGGTGAGCTAGTCCATGCAGGCATATATAGAAGCTAGTGGCTGGCACTGGGGCATCTTCCTCGGTGTTTCTTCATGTTTGAGACAAGGCCTCTCATTGGACTTGGCGCTTACATTCACTAAACTCACTGACCATGAGCGCAGGATCTGCCCTTCCCTGCTTTGCCTCCAGTGCTGGAGTTACAAATGCTGCCATGCCTGCCTTTTTATGTTAGTGCTGAGGACCTGAAATCCAGTCCTCATGCTTGCACAGAAAACCTTGAGAGCTGCTGGAAGTGTTGTAGTTTAAACCTTCATCACAAAGTATTCTAGCGCAGAGGAGAAATGTGCTCATGGTGCACAGCCACCTTGTGACATCAAGGTCTCCCCCCCACCATCCTTTCTAATAGACCGGAACTCCAGCCCAGAAAGGCCACCATGCCTGGGGTGTGAGTCAATCCACAGAGACACTTCACAGATACAGAGGGTCTCTTTCTATCCATCGCTTCACCTTCTGTAGCCAAGGAAAATGTTACCTCTGCCCATGCTTGTTGGGACCAAAACAACACGAGTAGAGGACAGAGCTTGCCCGGAGTTTCCCAACTGTGCCTGCTTGGAAGAACCACCTGGGGTCCCCTCACCTGGTGATGCTGGTTCCTGCATCAGCAGTGGCTGTATTGATAGTGAGCGCACTGTGTGATTCTTTGAACCAAACGGGCCCTGGGGAGCATAAGGCCAGGCTAGCAGAGGCTCACTAATGCTTCTGTCCCTGACTGAGCAGTGGCACTGAGGTCCCCAAGAATGAGCACTGCAGTCGGTATGAGCCCACACTCTGCTGGTCCTCGAAGCACCCCTTTTCCCTCAGAACCAGATCCCTGGGCTCGCGTGGCAATTGAGACATGCTGCCGACCTACTTTGGGGAGATAGTTTGAGCAGAAGACATTTAGTCTTGGCTACTGACAATTTCTTCCTGTGACTTTGTGCTTAGACTGAAGAACCTGGAGCTCTCTGCTGTGGAAGGATCTGACGTCCACGTGAGGATGCTGGCAGCCCCTATCAATCCATCTGACATAAATATGATCCAAGGTAACCTTGGTCCCTAGAGCTTATGATAATTGGCTCAGCAGCTGCCTCCCTTCCACTCCTCCTCACATATGATATGAAATTCTCAGGACTGGCAGCGGCTGTCCTCTAGAGGAGCTCTCTGCACACAGTATTAGCTACTCTCTGGCCAGCCTCTGAGCATGAGGCTCTGTGAGCTGGAGGGATTGCAGTAGTGGTAGACCATCCCTCTGAAGAGCCTGTGACATGCTGGACTCCTTTCTTACTTGAGCTTACCCTCGTGGTAAGCATGTGCCCAAAGAGCATTAGCTCCCTGCAGAGTCATGGAAGCTGAAGGCCAGGGTTTGGTTAGGTGGACAGCTAGGGAGGGCAGGGCCCTGGTGAGTGCAAATGTGACCGACCCCAAAGTCTAGGCCCTCCCCAAAGTCTAGGCCCTCCAGAGTCCCAGCCTAACCTGGCAGTGTGACTGCATTACTTTTCCTTGATAAATGTTTCCTTGATATATGTTGCCTTGATAAAACATATAACCAAAGCACTTAAAGGCATGTGGTTCCGGGGGTTAGAGTCTGCAATGGCAGGGCACAGGCAGCAGGAAGCAGAGGATTCACATCTTTAACCCAAAACACAGAGTAGGACTAAGAATGGCACAAGGCTTTGTAGACTGAATCCCACCTTCAGTGACACACTGTCACCAAGACCACACCTCCTAGACCTCCCTAAAAAGTGCCACCGGTTCAGGATCAATTGTTCAGATAGATAAGTCTCTGGGTGACACTGTTATCCAAACCACCACATTTACCCTCTGAATTCTTCTCTCCCAGGGAACTATGGCCTCCTTCCTAAGCTGCCTGCTGTTGGAGGGAACGAAGGTGTTGGAGAGGTGGTAGCAGTGGGCCCCAGTGTGTCTGGATTAAGGCCGGGAGATTGGGTGATCCCAGCAAATGCTGGTTTGGGTGAGTGTCCCCAGGAGTGAGCAGCCATGCATTCCTCCAGATCCTAGTTCATGTATCCTCAGTGTAGCTAAGCAGTGCCAGATTCACTATTAAGTTAGGCCTGCCTCCATCAGTGTGGAGTTGAGCCAAGAGCACAGAATCCTGTTTGTTGTGCCCTGGAGGGAAATGCCTATGTGTACATTAGCTTGGCTCCATGTTGATTAGAGCTGAGTATCTGATTCTTTATATCCTTGAGTCTCTGCTATAAGGTGTGGTGCAGACTACAAATAAGGTTGGCCCTGCTGTCCAGAAGACTCAGATCTGACTGAAGTGTCAGGAACTATCTCAGAAAAGGGAGTACCCCAAGGCTAAGGGAGCAGGAGTAATTGTGGCTGCTCCGCATGCGTGTGCATGAGACAGAGATGTTCATGAGGATATTTCAGGCAAGACTGTGAGAGTCCATTAGAACATGTTGGTGGAAGTTGCTTAGGCAGAGTTGAGCCAAAGGCATTTCCTATGGAAGGAGTAAAATGAGCAAACATCAGGGTGAGTGTGGGAAATGGAAAATCCAGTGTAGCCCCAGCAGAGGCTTTGCCTGTGGGCTTTGCCTGTGTCTCCCACTGTCCTCTGTCAGGACTCCCACAGGACTCTGTGGGAGAAGTTACATAATGAGAAAGAAGGTTGGAGAGGTAGAGTGGGGCACATAGGGCAAGGCCCTGAAGAGCCAAGCTGAGGCTAGCATTTAGTGTATATATGGAAAGAGTCATTAGAGTGTTCTGCTTTCCAGTCCTTGTTTTCAAGGCACACCCATTATCCAAAGGGATCTTCATGGTAGCCACAAGAGGGATGTGTTCCCTGAGATTCGTGAGGTGGCGGGAATGAAGTAGAAACCAGAGGAAAGGATAAGAGAGCTTTAATAAAGTAGTGGTAGGAAGATAGCAGCACACCACACCAAAGAAGAGGATTGGCACCTCTTGGCTTTGTCTGTTGAGGCCTTTGTTAAGGTGGGTGTGAGAATTGCTTTCTACCTAGGATGAAATGAACCTGGGATGTCAAAACAGCTTTATCTTCTCAGGCAAGCTGAAGAAATAACTAACCTATGTTTTTGGTTTCTGTTGGATTTTTTTTTTCCTGAGACAGTAATTCAAATTGAATCCACCTGCCTCTAGCTCCCAAGTGATAGGATTAAAAGTGTGTGCCACTACACCCGACCTTTTAAGATTGTTAAAGTTTTAGTTAATATGTGTGGGTATTTTGGCAGCATATACAATTGTGTACCACAAGTGTGCAATGCCCTCGGAGGCCAGAAGATCACTTGGAACTGGAGTTAAAAAGGGTTGGGGGCCACGTGCTAGGAAGTGAACCCAGGTAATCTGGAAGAACAGCCTGTGCTCTTAACATGAAGCCATCTTTCCAGCCTGTTTTTTGTTGTTGTTGTTGTTGTTTTGTTTTTAACTGTAAGGTGGCTAAAGGCTGTTCTGTGTGGCCCCAAACTGTAGGTATTTGAGGTAACACATAGCCAACTGAATCGACTAGCTCAGGTTTACCATTTAGCCCATTTTCTTCTAGCTTTTGGCCAGAAAGGGACACCTAACTACACTTATTGTCATCAATTTACCCTTTAGCTTTGAGATCAGTTTGAGGCCCCAGTCCTTTTTGTTCATTTTTACGAAGTAATGACATGCAGTTGAGGAAATTTTAGTGTTCGAATCTTGAGTTGACCTTTTTGAGTTCAGCTCCCCTGATTCCCTAATGCCTTGCCCAGTAGCATGGCAGAGAGTCCATCCAGTCCAGTGATGTATGAGGCGCTGAAGCTTGGGAAGCAAAAGTTTGCTCAGACTCAAATACAAGGGGAGAGGGAGCCCAGTGGAGTCTTGTCTGCTGTGTTTCCCACTGTCCTCTGTCAGGACTCTTTGGTCTATGACTCACAAAGCCTAAAACTTATTACTGTACATCGCTGTGCAAGTAACTCTCACGAGGACTCAACACCACAAGCTTTTCCTCTTTCCTCCAAGTCTGCCATCTTTGATGCCCTTTTACCAAGAAGGGGAGGCTGGGGTTGGGCGTGCAGGGGTTCCTTCCTCACTACCCTGCCCCATCCTGCCTCAGGGACCTGGCGGACTGAGGCTGTGTTCAGTGAGGAAGCACTGATCGGAGTCCCTAAGGATATCCCTGTCCAGAGTGCCGCCACCCTAGGTGTCAACCCCTGCACAGCCTACAGGATGTTGATGGACTTTGAACATCTGCAGCCAGGTAGGATCCTGCAAGCTTGGGAGTAATCCCAGGTCTTCCCACCGGGGGACACCAAAATCCTGCCTCAAAGGACTTAGGAACTCACTGGCACACATGGCAGAGGGAGGGTCCCTTGGATCAGTGACAGGCTCTAACCTGAGTAAGTCGTACTGTTCTTAAGTAAAAAGATGTTGATGAGTTGGTTCCTAGAAAACACACTGTGAGAAGTGCTGGTCACATTCCCCAGAGCTGGGGCTAGAATGCTGTCACCCAGCAAAAATGTGTTGAGCTGTGCTAAGCTTTGGGGACACAAAGCCAGGGAGACGGACAGTCACTGTTTTCAGTAAAATGCTGAACTCAATGGTAATAGTTCCACTCAGCACTTCCACTCGCATGAGCGCCTCTGCGGGCATCCTCCCTATGGAGTGCATCTTCAGAGCCATGCGGAAGGGCCTGTTAGGGATTAAGAACTCAAGCCCCAGGCAAACAGCCGAGGTCTGAACCAGGCTTCACCTCCACCTCCAATGGTGTGAGTTCACCATTCACATCAGTGCTCACCCATGTGATGGCAAGTAAGGGGTGCCAGAGACTTGTGGGTCACTAGAGTCTGAAGTTTAGTCCTCCTTTTCATCAGTGAGGAACAAAGACCCACAGAGGTGAGCTGTTACATCAAGTCACCCAGCAAGTAAGCAGCCAGACTGTCGCTCGAGTTCCTCTGAAAGCAGAAACCGAGCAAGCCTTGGGCAAGCATTTTGTTTGGGACGTGTTCGCTAGAAGGAGGAGGGAGGGACGGAGAAAGACAGGACGGAGGCAGAGCCCATTAGAGCCAGTTGCAGCTGTCGGCAGCTTGGCCTCAGTCACTGGGGATCCCCTCAGGTTCCTTACACACTACAGAGTTAACCCCAAAAGTCAGAAGACTGCCCAGCTTATTTTTGTTGCTTTTGGGAGGTTTGTTTTTTGTTTACAGTTCTAGGAATAGAATCGGGCCTGGAGCATGCCAGGTAATCACTCTACTCCTCGTCTCTGCCCCAGCCCAGCCCTACCTTCCCGCTGCTTGAGGGCTCACTCTGCACACTGCGTATCTGTAGCCACGCAGGGATGGAGAAATCACCTACAGTCCTTCTCTCATGCCAGTGAGAAAACTGAGGCCAAGAGCTGTTGGACTGTGGTGAAATTAGATAGCCACTGACCAAGGCCCTCAGCCATGACAAGGAATCCTAGGTGGCCTTTGGCCACGAAAGCCAGGAATGATGAGAGACTTTTGTTGGAGTCCCAGTACAGTCAGCACTGGGTGCCTCTTCTCATGTCCTGGTCCTGAGGTCACTGCTGATTAGGGCAGCCCTGTGCTTGATGGAGCCAGGCCTTCTAATGCCACCCAGTGTAAATGCCTGCAGCCTCACTGCCTCAGGGCCGATGAGGCCAAACAAATTCATCACCTGACCCAAAGTAAGAATAACTGTCACATTGTTCACTGGAACTTATGCATATATGAACGCAGATAATGGAAACTGAAGTTTGGCAGCTCAATACTTGCCTTTGCTGTCTTTGTTACTGCTCCATATTGCTGTACTCCTCAGCTCCAACGGAAACAAATCAATGATGCTGTCAGCCTACGCAGGAGGTTCAGCATTCACTAGTGATTGATAGGTTGGAGCCCTGGCCAAAGCAAATGAGCAAACTTGACTGAGGAGTTGTACTTGCCACTAGCTGTAGCCTATTCTGCATTGACTCCTGCTGCCTTTCAAAACCAGACAGCTTTTCCAGCCAACAGAGCATCTTCCTGCTTATTTGGCTTCAGTCAGACAGAGACACTCTGATAGGCGCTCTCAGGCCTCCTGTTTTCTAGGGAAGACAAATCGAAGTTCAAAGAGGACATGCTATGGCCTGTCTCAGTTGGTTACAGTGACTGGTGAAGCAGGATGCATGAGAAGGTCCATCATGTTCCCTAGTGCACCACACTGCCTCTCCCACTGGTGAATTACAAAGCTAAGCCTGGGCTTTGACCACAGTCGTTGTGTATGAGTGAGGGTATAGCTCAGTTGCAGAGTATTTGCTGGCATGCTCAAGGCCCTAGATTCTATCCCAAGCACCACAAAGCAAAAGCAAACATTCTGTAGGGCCCTGGAGCTTGGCATTTCTCCAGTCTGGCTCTCCTTTCAAGGGCACCTTTACTAAACAATACATAAGGGAATAAGGTATGGCCTCCCCAAGGACTAAAGGTAATTAAGAGATGTGCACCTTTGCACAGCTGAGTATAGGGCACAGTTACACGAGATGCCATGGAGGGCTTCATGAAGGAAGCCACACTAAAGTGGAACTTAAAAAGGAAGAGACCAGAAAACCATTTCAAACCAGAGATGTGGCCTCAGCATGGGCCAGTGTGGTGACGGAGCAGGCAAAGGTGCTTGCCACTCAGACTGACAACCTGAGTTCAATCCCTGAACCCATCCTGCAAGCTGCCCTCTGAGCTACACATACACATGGACATACACAGAAATGTAAATAAGATAGCAAATGGCCCAAGCAGAGAACAGAGGACTTAAAAATTGGAAAGATGATCAAGGGCAGTCTCAGAGCAGGGTCTCAAACATGGACAGAGTGGCCAAGATCTGTGACGCATTATGGGTGTGGTGGGATGTGGAAAGTATGGCAATAACAGTGAGTGATAGTTCAAGGTGTGAGAAAGCTTGCACTGCTGGGCCCTGGATCCCAGGCTGGGAGCCCTCAACCTGCCACAGGTTTGCAGCACTTGACTTAGGTCTCTTACACAGGAGACTCTGTCATCCAGAATGCGTCCAACAGTGGAGTGGGGCAAGCAGTCATCCAGATCGCCTCAGCCCTTCGCCTAAAGACCATCAATGTGGTCCGAGACAGGTATGTGGGGAGGCCGAACCTATTGGAAAGGCCTTTCCACCTCGTGTCCCTGTGCGTCCCACATCTCCACCAGATGGTGCCCTTGCGTGGGCATGATTGGGCTGGCTGCTGAAGCACAAGCATTCCCGGGGCAAATGAAGTCCCTGTGAAGTCTGAAACAAAGTTGACAGGAGGAGGCAGAAGTAGTCCTTACTACAGTCAGGAGTATTGGAGACTTGGCTTAGGATAACCCCCGCTTTCAAAACCACAGTTCCCATTTGGGAAGGTCTTGAGTTGTTCTGACTGTTCTCTGAACTCTCTAGGCCTACCACTTAACTTTGTGCACTGAACCCAGCTGGGAAGGAGGTGGGGCAGGCTTGTGATCTCTCTTTTACAGATGAGAAAGCTGAAGTTTCCGAGAGAGGAAGCAGCTTGCTCAGGAAGACACAGCAAGTCAGTAACAGACTTACCTTCTTTCCATTGTCCCTTCCGGCCCCTTTAAGCCTCAGTGTGCTCCAGTGTGGCCCAGTCACTTGAATCCGTTCTCTCTAGGGTTGGTACTTTTCGGCCCCTGCATCTGCAGTGGTGATGATGAAGTGATTCTGTGTACCTGGGCCAAGAATCAGGGCAGCTATGCACTAGAGTGTTTGCATGATACCCTGCAGTTCTCTGGAGAACAAGAGGAAAGAAAGTGGTATCTGAACAGAACTAGGAAGTAAAATGGCTCTTCCCTGGGCACAGATTGCTAGCATGTGTGCTCTGGGTTTTCAGATTATCTCCCAGCCTGGCTCTGTCCAGGAAGGAATGGCCAGTGGGAAAATGAGGCAAGAGCTGGAGGAGCATGATTAAATTATGGGGACGGCGCCTGCTTAAGGTCTGGCTTAACCTCAATCCCAGTTCTCAAAACAGAAACATGTTCCGGGGCTGTGGCATAGGGGTTCTGGGAGCTTGAGGGAGGGAACTCAGCCAGCATGACTAAGGCCCTTGATTGTGTTTGGTTTCCAGGCCTGACATCCAGAAGCTGACTGACAGACTGAAGGGTCTAGGAGCTGACTATGTCCTCACAGAGGAGGAGCTAAGGATGCCTGAGACAAAAGCTGTCTTCAAGGTACCCAGCTTGGGGCTAGAGAGATGCTTAAGCATTTAAGAGCACTGTTGCTTTTGCAGAGAATCCAGGTTTGAGTCCCAGCACCTACATGGTGGCTTACAACCATCTGTAACTCCAGTTCTAAAGGATCCAACACCCTCTTCTGAGCTCCATGGGCAACAGGCACACACATGGTACACAAACAAATGTGCAGGCAAAACATTCCCATCTACATGCACAAATAAGTCTTTAAAATTTTAAAAATAACCAACGAACCCAGCTAAGAACACTTCCCCTCAACCTCCACCCCATGCCATCTCCTTGTAACTGGAAAATCTGGGTGCCCTGGCTCCTTACTGCAACCATTATCTCTTCTGGAAAGGACAAACCCCCCCCCCAACCAAAGCTTGGGGACAGTGCCAGGCTGGTAAGCGCTGTAAATGCCCAGACTCTGGGAGGGGGCAGAAGCACACAGACTTTAGGAAAGCCAAGGTTTTAAATATTTGTAGTGTGCTCCATCGGCCTACGTGGCAGATGGGAGTCAGAGCTGGATGAAAGCATGGAGAGAAAACAGACAGAAGCTCCATTTCCTAAGCCTCTGCCTCACATTTACCTGACCATCCCACAGAAAAGCTCTACCAAATAGCTGACAGAGATGCTGCATAGGGAGGAGACACAGCCTCAGAACCACATCATCACAAAGTGGTGAGGCTGGACCACGTCGCTTGGAACTCAAAGCCAGTGCCTTTCTAGAGCATCTACCCCAGCAGACCCAGGAAGTGAGCAGACCCAGTCCGAGTCTTTTTGCACTAAACCATGTGAAAGGACCAAATACCCGCTGTTGAGAACATTGGCCCTGGAGAACACTGCCACTGTGGGAGGTCAGCACATCACCTGTAAACTTCTGTTCTTTCACACTGAACAGAGATGCTCCTTGTCTGTGCTTCCCAGCGTCCTGGGATGGACACCAGGATGGAGCGGCTAAAGCCCTTCCCAGGCAGATAACAAGTCCCAAAGTCATCCACACTCCATTTCCTTCTCTCTCTGACACAGCACTTGGGCCTCAAAGTGCTGCTTGTGGCAGCTTCAAACCCCTCACTGTAGGCTCCTTATTTTACAGGAGCTGCCCCTGCCCCGACTGGCTCTCAACTGTGTTGGTGGGAAGAGTTCCACAGAGCTACTGCGGCACCTAGCGTAAGTCTCTCAACCTGCGGGCCTCCATCACATCACCACCACTTGCTCTCTGGCCTACCCTTCCCTCTGTGTCCTCTGTGGATGAAAAGTCTGGGCAGCCATTTCTCTCCAAGGGCCTAGGAGTCTTCACCTAGGGGCCTCTTAAAAAGTCACACAGTCTAAACTAAGTAACTTTGAAATTAGCTGTCTTTTAAAACTAGAATTAATGTGGAGGAAACATTACACTTCTTACAAAATATTTTGGAACCTATAAAAATGCTGAGGGAAAGGGAGAGACGGGCGTTCATCAGTGCCCACCCACGGGGGAGAAGCTCCATTCACTGTGTTCTATGCTCTAACTGGAGGACACCTAAGAAACATTTACCAGTTGAGCTAGTCCCTCCATAGCGACTTGGCCAACACCATGAGCTAGCTACTGGCTGTAGAGGCGGCTGAGCTGCTGCGGGAGAGCATAGACTGGGACAGATGAGCTCCACAGCTGTGCTGAGAGTCAGCCTCTGCAGTGGCTGCGGCGCCATCCCACAGCCACAGGCAGGCGTTGCTATTCCAAATTCCTGTTTTGCTTTTCCTTTTGGTATTGGGGATTGAACGCAGGCCTCGGGCATGCTAAGCACATGTTCTGTCACTGAGCTGTGTCCCCAGCCCCCATCTTCATTTTATACTTTAAAAAAAAATGAAGCCCGGAAAGGGTAATCACTTCATTCAAGGGGTAGTTGGCAAGGGTTGCCTCTGAGTTTTCATAGCTATAGAACACCCTTATTTGGCCAAGAAGCAGCCTGTGAGGCTGACTGCATCCTCCACGCTACTGATAAAAGAAGCAGTGGGTCCTGGTGTGGATGCAGACATTAGAAGGACTAGGTTCAAAGCACAGCTCTGCTACTCACTAGATGTGGACCTGTGAAACATTGGGCAAAACGTGAAGATCCAAGCCTCAGTCTCCTCATCTTTAAAATGGGAGTAAGAGATATGGCTCTGCCTCTGCTGGTTAAAATAAGGAACACGGGTGATGCAGAAATGATGGGCTTCAACTCTCTCCTGCAGAACAGACAACAATCTCCCCCGATGCTACTCTGATAATTCATAGGGACAGTACAGATAACATGCTTAGAGCCATGTTTGGTACAAGGGCAAAAGGCTTGCTTTCCCTAGAAACTTCCTGAAGGAGAATCATTTGAGGGAATTTAAGGCTAAATTAAGCCAGGCTTATGGGGCACCCCTGTAATCTTAGCACTTGGGAGACTAAGGAAAAGGATTGTAATGAGTTCAAGGCCAGACTGAGGTATATGCCAAGTTTGAGGGAATCATAAGGTCTACAGACATAGTCAAACACACGCACATACACAAAGAGAGGCACAGAGAGAAACAAATGTGGAGCCTAGGGATACAGCCTATAACATGTGCTTAACGTGTGAAGATTCAGGTTTCTCCCCAGCACTTCGATTGATAGGTAGGTAGGGAGGTAGGTAGATACAGCAGGTGATTCCATTATGTCCTTTTCAGATTTCCTCAGTTGCTCCAAAATGTGCCTCAGGTCATGTTTGATCACTAAACTCCTAAGAGATTCAAGGAGCAAGCACAGGTTGACAGCAAAGGTTAAATCTAGCATATATCCTTAGCAATTCTAAGAAATTACATTAGGGCTGGGCATGTTGGCACCTGCCTGGAATCAGAACTGAGACAGGAGGATTACAGCTTAGATACCAGCCTGGGCTACATGACAAGACCCTGCCTAAAAAACAAAACAAAAAATTGCATTTGTGTTATGCGTATTTGCCAGTTGAGAGGGGTGTCAGGTTGCAGGTACCAACAAAGCCCCTTCATTGTCCCCTTCACTGTTCATATCACTCCTTAGCTGAAGAGCTACTTCATGGCACTGATCTCAGGAGTGAGCATGTACAGATGAAGAGACAAAGCCTGAACCATTTTCATTACCAAGGTCACACTTTCGTAGAGCCCAGACTGAACCTAGCCTTGATTATCTGGAGCATGAGAATGTGTGTCCCTGTATTTGGTTTTGAGATGGGGGTATCTATGTAGCTAAAGCTGGCCTTGAACTTAATCCTCCTACCTCAGCTCCCAAGTACTGAGATTGTTGGCTTGAACCCCCATGCTTAAATTTGTTTATTTGCCTGCTTGCTTGTGTTTAAGACAGTCTCACTGGAACCCTGGCAGGCCAGGAACTTGCTGTGTGGACCAGGCTTGCCTCCAATCAGATCAGCCTGCCTCTGCTTCTCAAGATTTGGATTAAAACCACATACCACCACGCCCAGCATGTGTGATATATTCACTATAAGTTCTTGCCTCCTAGTTCTTTAAGTGAGAAGTTAAAACTGAGAAGTTGGGGCCTGGAGAGATGGCTCAGGGGTTAAGAGCACTGGCTGCTCTTCCAGAGGTCCTGAGTTCAATTCCCAGGAATCATATGGTGGCTCACAACCATCTATAATGAGATCGGATGCTGTCTTCTGACGTGCAGGTGTACATGCAGACAGAACATTGTGTACATAATAAATAAATAAATAAATAAATAAATAAATAAATAAATAAATAAATAAACCTTTAAAAAAAAAAAAAAACCGAGAAGCTGTATTTTCTTAAAGCTCCCCAGGGATTCTGAGATCCAGAACTGGTTCTTGTAAGTGCCTTAGCAGGTTTCTCTTGGGGGACCTTAGGCCATGGTAGGTTGTCTTTGCCTGCACTCACTCTTCATTCTCTCTGGACTCTGCAGGCCCGGAGGAACCATGGTGACCTATGGGGGAATGGCCAGGCAGCCTGTAACAGCCTCTGTGGTAAGCTGAGGATACCTTCAGACCAGAGCTTAGATGCCTCCTTCCTTACACTGCAGTTGCCTAAAACTCGGGGGACCAATGCCTGAAGCAATGCTCTAAGTTCTAGTACTCAAGGCCCCAGCATATCCTTCTGTGTCCACAGAGCCTGCTCATTTTTAAGGACCTCAAACTTCGGGGATTTTGGTTGTCCCAGTGGAAGAAGAACCACACTCCAGGTGAGTGGCTGATGGCCTTGATACCAAGGGTGGAAGGAAGGTAGAGCTATCTGGCTGCAAAATGACCAGCTACTCTAAAACCAGCAGAGTGACTGAGTCCTCAACCTCACAATAGGATAGAGGACTATAGTCGGTCAGCAAATCGCTTCTAGAAGGGGCTGGCTGGCCCTTGGGCACAGAGTCTAGTAAGATGGTCCAGCCCTCATTCTAAGGAGCTGACTGGGATGCTGGGAAAGCCTGCCAAGTTAAGGGAGCATATGGGGTGCAATGGTATACATGTGTAATTCCAGCCCCCACGAGGCTTGGGTGGGAGGATTCTGAGTTCAGGTCATCGTTGGTTATTCAGCTAGATGCTGTTTCAAAAGAAAGAGGGAAAAACAAAAGAAAAACCAGCTCAAATGGTGCTTTCAGCATCAGTAGATCTAGATGGGCCTGGCCTAGCTGGGGAGCTGTGGGTAAGTTACTGAATCTCTGCCTTGGCCTAAGCATTGTGAGTTTAAACTCTTTTGAGCCATCTGACAAGAGAAAATTGAGGTTCAGAGCCACGAAGGCAATTACCCAAAGCTATCCCATTTCAGGAATGGGGTTGCCAGGGTGAGCAGATGGCCCTCTCACCACTTGGGCCTAGCTCCCCAGATTAGGAACCAAAGCTGAGAACGGAAGAATGACAGACATGGAGCTGACTAAAGGAAAGGGACGGAAGTGATGGCATGCATAGGGGATTTGCGTAGAAAAACTGTATGCACAAAAGCTCAAGAGAGTGAACGGAAGGGCTGGGAGGTAACTTAGTTGGCAAAGTGCTTGTCGAGCAAGCTTAGAACCTGAGTTCAAATCCCCAACACCCATGTAAAAAGCCTGTACCCCAGGACTACAGGGAGAAGGGAAATGGGTAGAGTAACCCTGCCTAGCTAGATCAAAGAGCTTCAGGATCAGTGAGAGACTGTCTCAAAAATAAAGGTGTCCTGAGAATGATGGTGCCACCTTTAATCCCAGCACTTGAGAAGCAGAGGAGGATGGATCTCTATGAGCCACGGTTCCAGGCCTCTCAAGGCTACATAATGAGATCTTGTCTATAAATAAGAATGTGACTGAAGAGCACCTCAGTGTGTGTTGGTCTCACCCACACACACACACACTGAGAAGTACATACACTACACCCGAAGTAAATATTTAAAAAGAGAGTAGAACCCGCCACACAGGGCACCTGTAGCATTAGGGCTGGTTTTGGACTGAGAAGTTAGAGGACAGGTCCTGACCAGATTGCAAAAGGCCTGATGAGACTTTTTTAAAGGTTCATGATCTTGCCTGAAGATAACTGGGGCGCCAGCTTGGTAGAGATTTTGTTTGTTTTGTGAGGTGTGTGTGTGTGTGTGTGTGTGTGTGTGTGTGTGTTTCAAGACAGGGCCTCACTATGTAGACCAGGCTAGCCTGGAACTCAGAGCTCCACCTGCCTCTGCCTCCCAAAAGCTAGGAGTATACCTTTGTATACACAATTATGCCACCAGGGTGTAGTGTCTTTATTAGTAAGTAGGATTAGATTTGAAGGTTGAGTTTGTTTCTATGTAAAGCACTTCTCAGCCAAAGCCTTCAACTTGATTCCTGTACTGCATCTGGCCCTCAGCCACAGGCTGGCCCAGGAAGGGATGTGGTTGCCTCAGTTGAGGAGTCTATTGGAAGCCCAGGACTGTCAAAGAGAGCTTTTCCTCATCTAGTCTGCTGCTATTAAGCAGTGGACCAGGTCTTCTGGGCCTCCTCTGGCTTCCCTAATTCAGTTATGGTGCCCCACCTGCCATTCAGGGCCCGCTCTTCACCAGCCCTGTCCTGTGGATCTGTGTCTTAGTCATCACTGAAAAGGGTAGTTACTGCCCGCCCTACAGTTCCTAGGACCACTCTCCATGTCTCTTGTCTGGTATTGGCCTTCATGTTCATCTCAGACCCTGGAGGGGACACTGGCTCAGGGCCATCTCATTAAACCTCACCTGTTGTTCCTTGCCTGACTTCCACCTCCTGCAGATGAGTTCAAGGAGCTGGTTCTCACTCTCTATGAACTCATTCGCCAAGGACAGCTCACAGCTCCTGCCTGGTCCGAGGTTCCACTGCAAGACTACCAGCAGGCCTTGGAAGCCTCCATGAAGCCCTTTGTGTCTTCGAAGCAGATTCTCACCATGTGATTAATGGAGAGGACCAGAAGAAAGCAGAAGACAGACCAACAAGACTGCTGGCTGTGGTCCCTCCACGAGGACCCCATTCTTCCCCAGGCTGCCTTCCACTCACTGCCTCTTCCCAGTAGGAGGGTAGGAGGCCAGTCCTAGGGTCCCTAATAAAACTTGAACTTCCTGCGCAAAGATTGAAGGGTAGCCCTCATCCCTGGGGAGGAATGCTGTGCACCTGCTGCTTCTCAACCCTAAGAGGCCCCTCCCCTGCCTCCCCACCTGTTGTCCATAGTCATTGCTTGACCACCCTGAAGCAGAGGTTAAGTGATTCCTGCCAAATGCTCTCAACGGTGTGAGCGAGTCCTAGAGTCTGGCAGAAAGGGAAAGGTGGTTAACTTCCTCAGGCTGTGTTGCTCTGTCCAGGGCAAGGGGATCTGCTGCCTAGAGGGTGAGTGCCAGGCTGAGATCATTAAAGCTTAAGAGACACAGGGTCTCAGGTGTCCAGGCCACCTTCAGGGAACTTCAGCCTAACTGAGGGAGTCAACATTACACCTGTGGTTCTCAGCCGGGGGCCATTTTTAACCCCAGAGGGACATTTTTGGCTCTCACAACTTGGGGAGGGAGTTGTTATTTGCCTCAACCTGGCAGAGATCAGGCTGCTAAGTAGTTCACAGCCAGGTGTAACACACACCTGCAATTCCAGCTATTGGGAAGCTTAAGTGGGGTGGCTTGCCACAAGATGGAAGCCAGCTTAGGCTATACAGCAAGATTGTGTCTCAAATTTTTTTTCTTACAGAGGGACCAGGGGGATAGCTGAGTGATAAGAGTGCTTATGTAGCATGCATCCAGCCTTGGGTTCCATCCCAATAACTGTAGAACAAATACAGCACATAGGACGACTCCCAAAAGGAATCATCCTGTCCAAAAGGTTCCTAGTGCTGCTGTTGACAACACCTACATTAAACCCCCAACTGGAGCCACCATAACTAGTGCTAAACAGAAGGCATCCAGGGCTGCAGACATGCCTGGGGGCTGGGCAAGGCTTGTTTGAGGTGCCACTTGACGGGTTGACTGAAAAATAAGTTGGTTTCATCCAAGTAAGAAGTGACTTTCTGGTGTTTGCTTCATGGTCACTTTGTCCAAAGCAAAGCACAACTTGAGGTTGTCTCCTCTGTCAGCTAGCTGACCCTCTGTACCTTCTTCTGAGCCTCATTCAGGGAGCATTTATTGAGTGCCCAGAACTAGCAATGAAGGGTATGCTAACTCTCAGGTGGTTTAGCCTTGTATGAGATCATTACAGTGTTAAGGGCAAAGCTGCAAAGGGCAGACAGGCCCATCTCTGTCAAGGGAGGGTTCTTGGAGGCAGTGTTGTCTGCAAAATCCTGAAGTCCAAGTAGGAAAACGACCCAGCAAAGTCGGCAGCTAGTGTGAGTCTGAATGTGAGAGGCCCTTGGAAATTGCAACCAGCATGAAGCTACTGCCGATGGAGCTGCAGCTTAAGCACTGAGGCTGGAACAGGCAGCAGGGGTCAGAGATCCTGCAGGTTGGAACCTGCCTGAACACAGTTTCAAGGCAAGGGTGATGTCACTGGCTGGGAGGATATGACTGCACACTGTACACAGGGCCCACTTACCCAGCTCCCTCTGGGAGTCCTCTAGAGGAGAGGACTGCTTCAGCCTGAGGCTGGGGCAGGTCAGATGTAAAATGTGCTGCCTCGTGCACCTGGGCTCAGGATCAGCTTCACCTTGTTCCTGGGACCCAGGAGCCTCTACATTGTTGGGACAGGTGTTTTTGTGCCAAGGGTCCATGTGGACAAGTGAAAAAGCCTAAGAGCACAGGGAGGCAGCGCAGAGGCAGCAAGAATAAAAGGTAGTACTTAAGGAAGTCACAAAATTTGGGGGTTGAGCCTCAGCCACTTCAAGATAACAGGTGCGAAGGAGGAGGGTTCCTGCACCAAGCATAGGAAACCCCCCAGGAAGAATGCAAAGGGAGCTACATCATGCTGTAAGGGTATGTCTGAAGCCTGGTTTCTGTAATCTACTCAGGAAGACAAACAGCAATGCTCAGACCAGGTAAACAAACTTAGACCTGTGCACTTACGGCTGAATCTTGGTTTCCCCAAACACCCACTCTGTTAAAACCTGCAGCCTTTAGGGGTGTACATAGTAGGCCATAACCAATGTGCTTCCCTGCCTCCCTTGCAATTAACAAGGTTGACCAGTGTGATACAATGACAGGTTTTGGTGCCAAGTGTCTTAGAACTTTGTTCAGTTATAGTTGCTATATTTTTCTCCTTCTACCTTCCCATTGGATTTCAAACATGATTCCTGGAGTGTACACAGCCATGTTTGACCTTGGCAAGAATGACACAAGGTCAGAGGAGCCTAGGATGTACACACACATACACATAGATCCCTGGGGGCCTACCTCAGAGTCTCAACTTATTTCAGCCCCTTGTGATGGCATTTAACTGAGCCTGATCTTAAAAGTGTGTAGCCAGAACTAAGCCAAGCTGCAGCAAAGGGTGGTGTAACAGGTTAGGATTCTCAGTCAAGCCATTTGAGGGGACAAAAGACAGCTGAGTAGAGGCACAGGCTTTGGAAAGCTCCTCTGGCAGGACTGGGGAACTGCAAGAACAGAAGCACTAAGATGGATGATAAAGGGCTTCAGAATTTAAGGGAAGTAAACCCCCCAGTCACACCAACCCCTGGACAGCCAAATTTTGAAGACCAGTTCATGGTACCAACACTTCAGAGACTGGAGGGGAAAAAGACAAAAAGAGATCATGACTTCCTTTGCCTCATCCCTTCTATAGAAAACAGGACATGGATGTGGAACTTGGGGTTGCCCTTCAGGCCCACTGAGTAAACCAAACCCTTTGTAAATGGAGCCCTAGGTTCCCAAGATAAAAGACAAATAGCCATGACCTCGGCAGACAAAGCTGGAGCACACCTGCAGCCTCGTTTGGCTCCGCCTCCTCCTCTGGGAGCATCCACCCTACAGCTCCATCGCCTCTGCCACAATACTGATGAATACCCGTGTCCTCAAGAGAACACAGGCCCAGGAGAAAAGTGCTTGTACAAACCTGTGTATTCCAGTTATCACTATTCTTTTTGTCTTGAAGGATTTAGCAATACCCACTGTTTTCGTGTCAAGCCCAGTGCCCTGCACAGAACACAGCACCTGCTGGAGCAGCTGCAAATGGTGTTGAGGATCAAACTGGAGGGCTTGAAGATGGTAGGTAGGTGCTCTATCACAGAGCCACTTCCCAGCGGATAAACTGCTGATGCACAAAGCTAACCTTATAACCTTATAAAGAGAGACAGAGAGCTGGCTCAGCACTTAGGGGCATAGACTGCTCTTGCAGAAGACCAGAATTGTGTTCCCCGCACCCATATCAGTCAGGTGGCTCATAACCAATGTAACTCCAGCTCCAAGAGGACCTGATACCTGGCCTCTACAGGCACCTGTACTCACGTGCACATACATAGAGATATACACACAGCTAAGATTTTAAAAAAAGAACTTAAAACATCAAACTAAGTATGTTGGCTCAGACCTGTACTTCTAGCATTTGGGAAAGGCAGGAGGAAGAGTTTAAAACCAGTCTCAGCTACATGACAAGTTCTGTGTGGCCCTACCTTCAACATCAAAAGAAACAAGACCTCAGAGTGAGAAAGCCTTTGAATTCTAAAATTGGGGTTGCGGGATAAATCCATAAATTTGTTTGTTTATTTACTTATTTCTTTTTTGTATGGCAGAATACAATAGGGCCAGTGAGACAGTTCAACAGGTTTTCTTAAAAAAGTCTCACACAGGTCTGAGGTCGTAAGTTCAATCCCTGAATCATACCATGAAAGGCAGGAGAGAAACATTTCCTCAGTTGTCCTCTGACCTCTGCCCATGCATCCACACACATGCACACACAACAAAAAACATGGCAATGCCCAAAGGCAACACGCTAGTGAGATATCTGCAATTCATTTGGCAAGATGCTGATTTTCGTAGTCTATAGTGAGCTATGAATCAAGTAAAAAAAGGAAAGACTAAAACACACACAAAGAAGCCGTGTCAAAGTGTGCATGCCAAATGTGTATGGGTGCCCTGAAGCTAGAACAGGGCATGAAAGGCTAGAAGCTCACTTCCTCAAAATCAGGTAATTGCAAATTAAATGGCCTGGAGGATACTGGATTGACAAAGTTCAAAAACATTTTTTTTTTCCTCTGTGCAGCATTGGCTGTACTGGAAGTCACTCTGTAAACCAGGTTGGCCTGCCTCCCAAGTGTTGGGATTAAAGGGATTCGCCACCACCACCTGGCTCAAACAAACAAATTAGCCTGCAAGATTATAATCTATAACATCTACTGTAATGCCAAAATAACCAAATGGCATGGAAGTGCTTGTTCTAAGCCATGTAGGAGCTCAGTAATGATTGGTTCTTTTCACTTTTACCAAGAGTCACTGGGGGGTTTTCTTTCTGTACTGCATTCCCAATTCAACTGACATGCAGTATAGTTTTCACGTTTTTCTCGTCTGCATCCTCAGCTTTCCTTTCTAGAGGGAGTTTCTTAAGTAGTACTTTAGAAGTTAACTTACCATATAGTTTTCGGCTTTTCTTTTTTGTTTGCTTTTTCTTTTTCTTTAAAGATTTATTTATTATTTATACAGCATTCTGACTGTACACCATAAGAGGGCACCAGATCTCATTACAGATGGTTATGAGCCACCATGTGGTTGCTGGGAAATGAACTCAGGACCTTTGGAAAAACACTCAGTGTTCTTAACCTCTGAGCCATCTCTCCAGCCCAGTTTCTTTGGTTTTTTGAGACAGGGTTTCTCTCTATAGTCCTGGCTGTCCTGGACTCCCTTTTCCTTTGTAGACCAGACTGGCCTCAAACTTACATTGATCCACCTGCCTCTGCCTCCCTTGAGTGCTGGGATTACAGGCATGTGCCACTGTGCCCAGCTTTTGGCTTTTAAAAAGGAAAAAAAAAAGATTATGTATACAACATTATTGTATATTATGTATGCAATGTTCTGTCTGTATGTACATCTGCATGCCAGAAGAGGGCACCAAATCTCATTATAGATGATTGTGAGCCACCAAGTGGTTGCTGGGAAATTGAACTCAAGACCTCTGGAAGTGTTCCTAACCTCTGAGCCATTTCCCCAGCACCCTTGGCTTTTCAAGA